TGGGTAAAGCCCTCTGCAGGGGCCAGGTTTGGCTCGATTCAAACGGGCTCTCAAGGCTCGCTGAGGGGGGAGAAAGTTGTTAGGAGCATGGATTGTAAGGGCAAAACTGAGCCCATGACAAGCTGCAGCTAACATTAAATCTCAACCAGGCCTCAGTTTCTGTTTCCCCGGAGTAGGACTTGCAGTTTCTGGTAAACTCCCAGTTGAGTAATTTGCCGGAATTGGGTAGTTGGGTCTGGCTGGTCATGAGGGGTCACTGTACCCTCCTTAGAATCTGTTACTAATCATTGCCTAATTGTTGACCGCCACTGTAATTGGGCCAATGCAAAATCTAGACCAGTATATAAATTGCTTCTTAATTCTGAACCCTATATAAACTACTTTAAAAATTTTATTTTTTATTTTTAAATTTTTATTAGCGAAACACCATGAGGTACAGTTGTAGACTTACAAATTTTTGTGCTTGGGTTTCAGTTATACAATGATCAAGTACCCATCCCTCCACGAGTGCCCATTTTCCACCACCACGGGTCCCAGTATCCCTCCCACCCTCCATCTCCCCCATACCACCCTATTTCTGTGGCAGGGCATTCCCTGCCTTTTGTTCTCTCTCTCCTTGTGGGTGTTGTGGTTTTGACCCCTATATAAACTACTTGTGATTAGGAGTCAGGGTCCATGTCAAGACTCCACGGCATTGGATGAGACTTGGACCCTAGCCCAGGCTAGCACTGGCTCAGGCCAGTAATAAAGTTCCTTTGATTTTGCATTATTGTGTGTGGACTCGGTCTCTGCAATTGGGGATCTGAAACTCGGGCAGAACAGGATGGGCCACCTGCTGCCTCCTCTGTGGTCCCGGCAATCCCTAAGGTGGACTTGGCCATGCTCAAGTCATCTGGGCAAGCAACGAGCACACGTCCCAGCTCGTGACGGCCTCTCTCTGCTGCAGAGGGGAGACCCTGAGAGAGACTCTTCTCTCCCCACTGTGTATCTGGGAGGGTGCCAGACACAGCAGTTCCAGGGTCAGGGAACGCAGAGACACGTCAAGGACTGGAGCCCCTGGGGAGGGGCAGGGCTGAGAATCACAGGCCCTGAGTGTACTTGGTGGCTTGTCTTGTCCTCGGGCACTGCTATTCTTGACTAATGACAAAGGTCTAACTCACCTTCGGGGAAGTTCCCAAACTGTCCTGTGTCCTGTGGCTTCAACCCAGGAGTCCTACTCCAGGTGCACCTTGGGAGCTAGGCTGACCTGCCTGGGGGGTCCTGGGGGTGACCTGCCACAGGGTCTGGGAGGTGACTCGCCAAGGGGCCCAGTAGGGGGCTGGCCTACCAGAGTCCACAGGGCTGGTGTGCAGGCATGGGCTGTGCTGTGATCTCACAGCTTATCTGCAAGTAACCCGGGATCAGGAGTGCTCATCATGGCATGTAAACACAGCGCGTGAGCGAGTGACCGAGGTGGCCCATGCTGGCCGGGTGGCTAACAGGTCCCCACACCGGCGACTCCTCCAGCCCAGCCAGCCTCCCCACTCAGCTGCCACATGACTCACTCCCGACTCCCAGTCTCATCCCTGGGAAGATGTGGAGGACACAGGCCGGCAGCTGGGGGACACTGTCTGTGAAGGATGTGATGGTGGGGGCTTCAGGTCTCTCCCCCATCCTGGGGGGATTTCCGGGCCCTGGAGGTGAGTGGTGACTCCCTGTGGAGCTCTGGTGCAGAGATGTCCTCTCAGAGTGGACACCCACCCACCTATCCATCCAGCTGGGTCTACGCCTCTACCCCTCTATACTGGTCCATCCACCCAAGTCCAGCAACCCTTGTCCATGCAACTATCTGTACCATCCATCTCTCCACCCATCTGCATAACCCACCATCGGTCGGTCCAAGCATCTCCCCACCCAACTCTGTTCATCTGCCTCTTTGCGTATTTATCCACCCTGACCAGCTTCATCTCCGGATCCGTGCATCTAGCCATCCTTGGCCCGTATCTACAAAGACCTTTTTTTGCCTTTGAGGGTGTGGGGCGAGCGGAGGGCGGCCTCCGTCCCCAGCTGATGGTGAGTGGTTCCTTGCCCAGGGGGCTACAGCAAGTCCAAACACAGTAGCACTTCCTGTCTGCGACTCCCCTGCACCCCGCAACAGAGGCAAGCTGTGAATATTAGGCAGGTGGATGGGAAGAGCATCAGGCAGGTGGGCGGAGGCTGGCAGTCCTCATCTCCTCTATCCGGAGAAACAGGCCGTGGTCAGTGAAGACGTGTCGTTTACTGTCACTGACCAGCAGTGTGACTTTTCTTAACTATTATGGGGGCTGTGAGGACCGCCCCCTTGGTCTTTGGGGACTGAATATGGGGCCCAGTACATGCTCTACTCCTGAACTTGTCCTCAGTCCCACGAGTCACCCAATCACTGAAAAATGTTCCACACACTGAGAAGTATGTGGCGCAGCAATATTTGGATTGGACGATCTCTAAAATTCTTTTTACCCCCATGATTAGTGATCTACTGATAGTATGGTGGCCGTGGGCTGGTAACCTGTGGGGGTTCCTGATAAGCATCACTGACTTTGAACACACGCGGGAAGCTGTGACCTGTGGTGTTTGCCACTCTCCACGGTGTCAATCGTCCCGCTGTAGGCAATTGGAAGTGTGCAGTGTGAGGTCATAGGCCACGACGCTGGGCAGGACACACAGGGCCAGCTCTCCCGAGGGAGGCCCAGACCAAGACAGAACAGTAATTCCACCCTGAAGAACTGGAAAGAATGCCAGCATCTCGGGGAAAGTCAATCATGACAGAAACAAGAAGTTTCCAGGGCTAATGCGGACATCGCTCTGCCCCTGTCTTGGGATCCATGGCCTTGGTTGGGGCGTGATCACAGCCCTCGGCAGATGCCTCCTACTTCCTAAAAGTCCCACGCATATCAGAGGCGATAGAATCTCAGAAGCTGCGTCTCAGGGGGTCGTTCACTCTCAGCCAGAGCCCCGAGGAGTCTCCAGCCAAGCTGGGACCGTGACTCAGCCCCCGCCGTGCAGAAGAGGGTCGTTTTAATCTCTGCGGCAACGTTGGCAGGACAGAAACTGGTGTTCACTCATGTGCTGGGGGTTGGTCACAGGGAGCGTCACAGCAGGACCCCAGGAATACACACATGACAGTCCATGAGGATCCGGAACATGAATGACGAAGGCCACCAAAGAAGGCCAGTCCCACAGCAGACCAGGTTAGCAGGTCCCTGTGAAAGCGGCCAGCATTGAGGACTATGGACTGCCAAGGCGTCAGTTTTGCCTTCCCATGACAAACACCTATTCTAGGACATGAGCCAGAATATGACTCAGGAAAGAGACAAATGCCTGCAAGCCAAAAAAGGAAAAAGGGAGAATTCTGGGCTGGGGAGGTGGCATGAGGGGCTTAGCACAGGCGCCCTGCATACCCCCAAGGGCTGACCAAGAGCAGAGCCACAGAGGCCCTGAACCCGGCTTGCTTGTAAGCCAGCATGTGTGTGTGTGTGTGTGTGTGTGTGTGTGTGTGTGTACGTGTATGTGCGTGTGTGTGTGTTTGTGTTGGAAGCAGGGTACAGCTAACTTAGTCTGTACTGTTGGAGGATTGACTGGTCCATCTGATTGGAGGTGGGTGGAACATTCCAGATTGTTTCTGCACTTGGTCAATGGCATCGGATAAGGCTCTCTGGTGGCTCATTTTTTCTATTTATTCAGACTGTGAAATTCACGCATAGAGCTGGGATGACCTCCACACAGACTGCTGTTGAGGGGACTGCACGTCTTGCAGATGACAAGAGGCATCAGTCATGCTCCTGGGACCTACAGGAGTGCATATTTCAGTGTGGGGCCTGAATGCAAACAGATAACTGCAAAACAAAGCTTAAAGCTGCTGCTGAGGGGGCTGGAGTGATAGCACAGCAGGTAGGGCGTTTGCCTTGCACGCAGCCAACATGGCCGACCCGGGTTTGATTCCCAGCATCCCATATGGTCCCCCGAGCACTGCCAGGAGTAATTCCTGAGTGCATGAGCCAGGAGTAACTCCTGAGCATCACCGGGTGTGACCCAAAAAGAAAAAAAAAAGCTGCTGCTGAAGTGTGGGAGGGAATGTTGCACCGGGACTGCAGCTCCAAATGCAGGGCAGGAAGTTGGAGACTGGAGGAGATGGTACTGGTGCTGTACAGGAGAGGGGGGAGAGAGAGAGAAGGAAGTGGATGGGGGGAAGAGAGAGAGAGAGAGAAAGAGAGAGAGAAGAGGAGGAAGGGAGGAAGGGAGAAGGAGGGAGGAAGAGGGAGGGAGAGAGAGAGAGAAGGAAGAGGAGGGAGGGAGGGGGAGAGGGAGGAGGAGGGAGAGGGGATGGTGGCAGTAAGGGAGTTTCGGCAGGTGGAGACTGCTCATGGCAGAAGCAAACAGCTGTGGTGGGTTTCGGGGCCAGGATGGTGGTAAATCAAGGTTAGATCGGTTTAAGGCAACAAAGAGCTGCTAAGGTCATGGTTGCTGAACAGGCCTCCACCGAGTGAGGCCACTGAATGTAACCGCAGTGGCCATGGTCTGCTCTCTGGATGTACTGCAGAGCGCATGGAAACGCTTCAGGACTCGGTGTGTGAGACTCTCCCCATGTTGGCCAGGCCTGCAGGATGGTCAGGGGCGGACTGTGCACAGAAGCACACACATGCACACATACACACACATGCACACATACACACGCATACACAACATGCACACACACACATGCATACACACACATACACACAGAAGCATGTGCACACACATGCGTACACACACACACACACACATACACACAATTAACTTATCTAGGACGGAAGTGAGTTCCCAGCCGTAGTGTTTACTAGGAAGGAATGTGCGGTGAGCGGCAGACGGGCTGAGCTTAGCCCTGCCCTGGACCCCCGCCCCGGAGGCGGCGTCCTCGTCCTCAGCGGCTGTGATATCCTGATACCACCAGCTCTGCCGTGTCAGCCGGTTCCTCTGGTGTCGAGCTGCGCTGTGGGAAGCCATGGTCAGATTTCACTGTTAAGAACATTCTTTCGGCAATGCATGTCCAGTCAGGCTGGCTGTTGCGGAATCAGGACAGATGTCTCTGACGGGGCCTTAGGGCACTGCAGGAGTCTGGGCCCCTGGGCTGTGTTCTGGGTCCATCCTGGCCTCGTCATATCTGTGGGGATGGCACGGTGAGGAGGCCAGTGGGCTTGAGCTTGCTGATGCCACCGTCCAGAATGCAGATTCTTGGGTACTTCATCTTCACCAGATGAGCTGCGAACTGAGAGGAAGAAAGACAGCAACACAGAAGTTGTATTTCTTTTGTTTCCATCTCCTTCTTTTCCTGTCCTATGGGGCCATGGCTGGCAGTGCTTGGGGCTTCCTCCTGGCCGGAAGCTCAGGGGCCAGCCCAGGCAGTGCTTGGGGGACCTCGTATGTGGTAAAATTTCTAGTTCTCCCATCACATTTCCTCTGGAGGCTTCCGTGCTATTATTGCTGTCAATGTGTATTAATCAAGCACTCATTTGGGGGGCTGGAGTGATAGCACAATGGGTAGGGTGTTTGCCTTGCATGCGGTCGACCCGGGTTTGATTCCCAGCATCCCATATGGTCCTCCTAGCACTGTCAGGAGTAATTCCTGAGTGCATGAGCCAGGAGTAACCTCCCTGCATTGCACTGGGTATGACCCAAAAAGAAAAATGGAAAAAAAACCCAAAGCACACATTTGGGGTTGTGTGTGTTAGGTCACTGTTCTTTGTGCTGCTACGTGAGCAGTGTGTCCCTCTGGCTGTCTCCTGATATGGCGCCATGTGTGGAAACACTCTAGGCACTGTTCTCGGGCCATCTGCAGGGGCCACTGCACCTCTGCTCCTCATGCTCCTGTGAGAGGGACCCTCTCACAGTCAGTAAAATATTTCCAACCAATAGGGACTTCTTTCCTTTCCTGTGCCACACCTGGCAGTGCTCAGGGTGTACTCCTGGCTCTGTGCTCGAGGGCCCACGTGTGGGGACTGGACATGAGGTGGCTGTGTGCAAGGTGGGTGCCTGCTCGACCCTCTCTGTGGCCCAACAGGAGCCATATTTTATATTATTCAACTTTTCTATGTAATCAGCTTAAAAATATAATCAACTTTTTAGTGACCACAAGTCAGTCACAGCTGTCAGAGAGGCCCTTGGAGCACCCTTGAAGAGCGATGTGTGAGACAGTGGCTGGGAAGTCTTGTGGGTGCAGGCAGCAGGGTCCTAGGAGGTCACCAACACCACCCTACCCGGTCCCCCCTCGAACGTGGCCAGGCTGCCTCTGGCCTTACCACTGGCTTTTGTCCATCCCGAGTTCTGGGTTCCCTACATCCAAAGGGAGAGTGTCCTACTTGGTAGAATTGGGTTAGTTATTATATTTTTTTAAAAAAAAAATTTGAACATGCTCACCGTTTTTCTCCTATGGGGAGTGGAAACATGGGTGCTGTTTGGAGAAATACTATCTTACACCCAAAGGCGGTGGACAACGTGGGGTTGGGTGGTCACAGCAGATGCTGCTCAGGGCTGACCCCTGGCTCTACGCTCAGAAGTGACTCCCAGGCAGGCTCATGGACCCCAGGGGATACCTGGGTCAGCTGTGTGCATGGCAAGTGCCCTCCCTGTTGTCCTATGCTCTTGCCCTGACCAGTATTCTTAAATTCATGTCATATCAGCATGTCACACTCAGCATGTGCCGAGTCTGCCACGTTTCTTCCCAATGCCATTAGCCTCTTCCCATCTCTGAAAAGCACCCTGGAACTGCAGCGGGCTTGCCAGGGTCCCACTCTCCTCTCCCGTTCCTGGGCCCTGCACCTATCAGTCTCGCATGAGCCCCTAGGCTTCCAGGCCTCCCCAACTCTGCTGCCGGGGCCTGTCCCTGTGGCCTTTAGGCCTCTCCTTCCGTGCACGATTACTCCCTGTGGTGGGATTGGCCGCCTCTCCTGGGCAGCCGCCCCATCTGTCTGGTCAGCAGGGAGAGGCCAGAAGCTATGTAATTAAAGCAGCATGGGACTGGAACAGAGACAGACCCGCAGAGCAGTGAGACAGGCCAATCTGACACAGACCCCAGATATGCAACCACTTAACCTTTGATAAAGGAGCAAGAAATATGGAGCAGAGCAAAAAAAAAAAAAAAATAAAGCCTCTTCAACAAGGGGTGCTGGGAAAACTGGATGGCTACGTGCAAAAAAACCTGAACTCAGACCTCTGTCTAACAGCAGGCAGAAAATATAGAAATGGATTAAAGACCTCAATATCAGACATGAATTCATAAGGCACATAGAGGAAAATGTAGGCAGAACCCTCCATGATACTGAAGGTAAAGACATCTTTAAAGATGAAACACCACTGACCAACCAAGTGGAAGCAAAGACAAACAAATGGGACTACAGTAACCTAAGAAGTTTCTGCACCTGAAATAAACAGTGAACAAGATACAGAGAGAGCCCACAGAATGGGAAAAATTATTTACCCAATACCCATCAGATAAGGGGCTAATATCCAAGATATATAAGTTACTGGTAGATTTTTAGAAGGAAAAAAACCCCTCCAACCCCATCAAAAAATGGGGAGAAGAAATGAACAGAAACTTTCTCAGAAAAGAAATACAAATGGCCAAAAGGCACATGAAAAAATGCTCTATACCACTTATCTTCAGGGAGATGCAAATCAAAACAACAATGAGGTATCATCTCACACCACAGAAACTGGCACACATCAAAAAGAATAAGAACAATCAGTGCTGGTATGGATGTGGGGAGAAAGGGACTATTCTGCATTGTTGGTGGGAATGCCAACTGGTCCAGCCTTTTGGGAAAACAACATGGGCATTCCTCAAAAACTAAAAATTGAGCTTCATATGACCCAGCATTACCACTTCTGGAAATATACCCCCAGGGTGCAAAACCACAGCAGAAATGGTATCTGCACTTGTATACTCATTGAAGCACTGTTCACAATAGCCAGAATCTGGAAACAACCCATGTGTCTGAGAACAGATGATTGGTTAAAGAACCTATGGTACATCCACACAACGGAATACTATACAGCTGTTAGAAAGAAAAATGAAGTCATGAAATTTGCTTATAAATGGATGGACATGGAGAGTATCATGCTGATGAAATAAATCAGAAGGAGGACAGACCCAGAATGATTGCACTCATTTGTGGGATATATTAAAAAAAAACGTAATATGAGACTAATACCCAAGGAGAGGGCTGGAGCAATAGCACAGTGGTAGGGTATTTGCCTTACACGCAGCCAACATGGCCGACCCGAGTTCGATTCCTCCGCCCCTTTCGGAGAGCCTGGCAAGCTACCAAGAGTATCTCGCCCACACGGCAAAGCCTGGCAAGCTCCCCGTGACGTATTCGATATGCCAGACACAGTAACAACAAGTCTCACGATGGAGACGTTACTGGGCCCGCTCGAGCAAATCGATGAATAACGGGAGGACCGTGACCGTGACCCAAGGAGAGTAGAAACAAGGGCCAGGACGAATGGTCCATGGTTGGAAGCCTGCCTCAAGGGTCAGGGGAGAGGATGGTTGGGATAGAGAAGGGGCCATCATGACAATGATGGTTGGGAGAGATCGTTCTGGATGGGAGAGGTGTGCTGAAAGTAGGTAAAAGACCAAACATGATGGCCTCAGATTCTGTGTTGCAAACCACAATGCCCAAAAGGAGGGAGGAGGGAGAGGGAGAGGGGGGGGGGGGGGAGAAAGAGAGAAAGAGAGAGAAGGAGGGGGAGAAAGGAAGAGAGGGCCTGCTATAGAGGAGGCAGGCTGCGGGGTGCTGTGGCCGGAGGGATAAGGGGGACACTGGTGGTGGGAAATGTACACTGGTGGAGGGAAGGATGTTGGCACATTGTATGACTGAAACCCAATCATGAAAGCTTTGTAACTATATCTCCTGGTGATTCAATTAAAAAAAATCTTTTTAAAAAAGAACCTAAATGCTTCCCCTGAGCATTGCGAAACCCAATGAGGGTTGGGCTGGGCTGCTGCCAAGCTCTGGCCTCGGGTCATGCAGGAGGGCAGCTGTGGTCAGTTCCCTCCCCGGCCCCAAACATTCCCGTGGTCAGCTTAATTAAAGGGGGAGTCACACACGAGGCCGAGAGCCCGCAGATTCCTGGTGGGGGGAAAGTGTCCCCCCTTCACACTCCTCAGAGCATGTCGGGAAGCAGGCGAGTGTGGGTCAGTGCCGACTCCCCTCGCTGACCCTGACTCGGCCTTTCAGCGAGGGCACAGCGGGGCGGGCTCAGGCCTTGCCGTTATGGGAGCCAATACTGGTGCACCTTCCAGCATTCATAAATGCGGTGAGCTCGGGGGTCCTTCTCGTGCCTCTGAGACCAGGTGGTGCCCGGTGTACTATGGTGGCACTCAGCATACAGCCCGCCTTAGGACCTGAGCCAACCCATAGGCCAACACGGTGGCTGACGGAATGCCTGGAAGCGGCTGCGAGAGAGTCAAACGGGCCTGGCAGGACCCTGGATTCCTCGCATACTTGGAACCCACACGGGGGACTGGCCAGCTGCTCTTTATCAAAAATGCTTCAGGTAGGAGTAAAAAGGGGTCTCGAACATGTTTCTGGCATGAAAGAAGGTCAACAAAATGGTTAGAAAGTATCACTGACAGAGTCTGGGCACATTCTCGGGGGCCCACAGACGGGGGGTAAGTGCTGTCCAGCCTGCTGGTCTCTTGGAAGCGCAGACGCAAGTGTCAGGAGAACCACCTCTGATGCCCGAGACCAAAAGGCGGGGGATAGGGGCTGAGCTATAGCACAGCGAGGGTGGGGTGGGGGGCACTTGCCTGGCACATGGCTAACCCAGGTTCGATTCCCAGGATCCCATAGCGTTCCCCCCTCCCCCGCCCCGCGCGCGCGCGCGCACACACACACACACACACACACACACACACACACACACACCCCATCCGGAGTGATTCCTGAGTGCAGAGCCAGGGGTAACCCCTGAGCATCGCTGGGTGTGATGCCCTCAAACAAAAACAAACAAAAGGTAGGGGGAGGGTTTGAGCAAGGGGCAGGTGAGGGGTGGCGAGGGCGTGGGAAACAGGAGGCCTGTTGGGACCAGCCGTGGGCTCCCTGGTGAAGAGATCGGGGAAATGTGGGGGAGGGCAGGGAGCCACCCCAACGACACACAGCAAATTAACTCCCAGCCTAAAATAACCGCGGTCCGCAGAGGAGTGGAAGCAAACAGGACGGGTGAGTAGCTGGTGGTGAAGAACACTCTCAGTAGCATGCTTTG